GAGGGGAGAACGGGATCAGGAGGCACAAGAACCCCCGAATCAGAGTTCAGCTCCCTGAAGATCTGAAGGAGAAGAGAAACCACCCCCCCGAGGCCCCCGAAGCAGCCACCAACGGCCAAGGTCGCATTCAAGCCCAAAAATCTTGTGCGGTTCGATAGAAACATGCTCGTTCATTAGGAGCAACACACTGTTATCTGGTACTTGAAGCTCCTATCTAGCACTGAAGCTTTATGACTTTTGTCGTCTCTGTCTACAAACATATATGCACTGTGCAAACTTTTTTCCTCATACGATATCGGTCTGGATGCAGAAAGCCCTAAGCATTCCCTAATCCATCTGGTCTAGAAACGGTGTCGGATCCACCGAAGCTGCTCTGGCCAGAAGAGCTCGATTCCTGGAAGCACTTTCTTGTGCTCTTCTGGCCACCAAAGGAGTGCACAAAGCTCATCTGGCTGCAACCAGAACAGCAAAAGCCGAAAGGACCCGTCACCAAGAACTCAGACTCACAACCAGGCCGGGCACAAACTCGGATGGTGGCCATCAGCTCGGGATACAACCTGTTGCATCGTCTGGAGTGCCAGCCAGGGAAGATGTCGCTGCATTTGCTGCAGCCCTCAGCATGACTTCCACTGGCCCGCCGAGTGCAGCCAGCTGTTGCGCACACTGCCATCTCTTGCCCTTCTATGAAAACTCCAAGAATTTTTAATGAGTTCCTGTATGCCAAAAAGCTCTAGTGAACCTCTCCTGCTGCATCTTCATGTCATGTCGGAGAGAAGCTGAAAAGGCTTGAGCACGGGCAAAGCGCCGATGCACAGGACCCTTGCCTTCGACGTGCACATATTTTAACTTAGGGCCTTAAGGTTCAAAGCTCATGCCGTGCAAGAAAAACACAATAGCTCATGCTACTTAGACAGCACCCACCACACAACAGATGTTTTCCTTTCCACAGTGGCGATAGTGCGAACTTTACAGATCTAGGCCGCAGGGTCGGTGATAATGCCAGCATCTATCTTGGCTGCAACATCGGCCATTGCAGCTCTGGCCTTCTTCTTGGCAGTCTCGGGGGGCCCAGTCTCCGTCGCAGCAAATGCTCCTTGTGATACACGGCACTGGTTCGTCTCCTCTTGAAGGAGCACTTGCACCCAGCCTTGGCCTCACCGGCCGCCTTGGCCGCAGCTTTGGCCTTCGCCGCAAGCTTCGCTGCAGGCTTCCCTTTCGTGCTGCCCTCAGCACAGGCAGCCGCCGGCTTCTTGCTGACCTTCGTGTTGTTTCCAAGAACCTTCTGTTCCATGCTCTGCTTCACGATCGCGAGATCCTCAGCAGTCAAGCCATTAAGAATCATCCTCTGCCTCAGCCTTGGGCTTCGGGACGACCTGCTTCCTGGAGCTGGAGGCCTGTGGCTTCCGGACGACCTGCTTCCTGGAGCTCGAAGCAGCAGCCTCTTCGCTGGAGCTGCTGCTTGCCGACCCCACTTGAAGAGCTCTCCCCATCACCAGGGGAGCTTCAACCGTCCCTGAAGCTGCACTTGCCGGCTTCCCACTGTTGCCAAGAGCTCCTTTCCAGATCCTCACGGGACTGCTCTCATCCCCCATGATCATCCGGCCTCGCTTCACGGACCGTGGGCTGCTGTCCTGCTTGGACAAAAATCCCCTGAAAAATGTCCTGGCCTTGGCTCTCTGCAGGTTTGTAAGGAACGATCTCGAGACCAGACGACGGGGCGGCCTTCCTGTCAGCTGCTGGATCCTCTCCACCATCCTTGGAGGCATCGTTGTGGTAGAGCACGTAACCCAACACCATATCGATCCTCTGCTTCTCCTTTTCCGTGGCTCTTCGCATCGCTCTCACATAGTCCTCGTGCTTCTTCAAAGATCGGACTTGCGATAGCAGGATGCGAATTCTGCTGTCGACCTGGTCCACCCCATCATCTGTATGATAATTGGTTCGATTCACTTTCTTCGTCTTCTCCGTACCATCAACCACCAGCCGACCCCAACTCAAGCGAAGTTTCGCAGACAAAAAGCCGTTAGGGGCGATAACCAAAAGGCAGCGACGGCGCGCAAAGCCCGCACGCGGTGAGTGACACCAGCGCAAGAATTAAGGCCGAGGCAGGCGCAGCGAGAAGAGGGACCGCAAAGCTCAGCCAGCCAAACGCCAACTACACAAGTGCAAGAACGCAAAAACACTGCAAAAACCCTGTGCGCAGCTGGGGCCTCGGCGGTGGGAGCACCCAGCAGCACGCCGCAAGCCTCCAAAGAGGCAGCGGCCAAGCGCAAGCCAGGCACGCACGGCTTCCGGGCCCGCTTCTGACGGGAGGAAGTTAGGAGGTGGCACGCTTCGTGGAAGCGCGGTGTCCACGTTTTGCCCCCGCGACGTTCCTTGCGGCTGTTGCCGGGCTTCGCAGGCGGGCAGGCCGGGGGCGGCCTTGTGCCTCCTGGGCGGCTAGTGCCGGCGCTGTGGTGCTGCGCGGGCAGGCGCGGGTGCGGCCTCCTGGCTGGCGCTGTTGAGCGGGTGGCGCCGGCTCCTCTGGGGGAGTTCGCTCAGAAGCGATACCCCCCCCGGCTGCGACGAAGTCTGTGGCCCGGAGCACCAGAAGCTCCCCTTGCAGAACAGCGGTGAAAGAGCTTTGACCCAGGTTCAGGGTGACAGACACTGGTTCCATGCGCAAGCCCACCCAGCTACGGAAACTACCTAACACAGGACTTGAGCCCTTGAGCCAAAATGGCTTGAGCCACAATGGCTTCCAAGTTATCTAAATAGCCTATATCGTGGGAGATAAGTTATTCTAGTTCTGACTATTTTAATTTTTTTTGGGATATGGATCATAGTCAAGAAATAACCTAACCGGGTCTTAGAGGCAGTTGTCCACACAGCGGCGGGCCGCAGGTGGGCTGGGACCGAAGCCGCGCCATGTCGGGCGTAAAGGCTGCACTGTTTCGCTGCCGAACTTACCGCCAACCTCGATGCCGATCACGACTAACGGCACCACGTGCTGACCGCATGTCCCTCAAGCGCAATGGCTTCATGGACGAAGCTGCGCCACGGCAATTCGACGAGTTGCGCCCGCCTAGCCAAGAGGCCAGTCTGGGGGCATGCAAGTGCATGGTCTCCAACTCCGAGGCGCTCGTGCAGCAGCAGAGCGCGAGCGGAACTTGGAGCCAGAGCCTGCGACGCAACTCGATCTGCATTGCCTCGAGGGTGAGTGACGTGTGGGGATCGCTGGGATGTGGCTCGATGGGCAGCCGAGGGCAGACCTTGCAGCTGGTGCAGCGGCGCGTGCCCAACCCTGTCCACAAGGCCAAGGCAAGTAGGCGCTGCACGGGCACTCATCGCTGCTCCAGTGCACGACAGTGTGAGGTGCTCCCACGTCTGTCGGCACCAGGCCTGCGAATACTGTGATCCATATTGATTTAGTTTTCCATTGTATTCGTTTCGGTTAATTGTCAAGAGCATTAGTTGTTGTCGCCGTAATCGTAGTAGAGAGTAGTGGCGGTGGGGGTGGTGGAGGTGCTATAACACATAGATACCCTAGCAATATTCTATTATTACGATTCCGACTCTGCCTACTAATGCGAGTGTTGGCACGGAGCCGTTTAAGCTCGCCCAAACAGCAGCGCGGTCCTGGTGCACGAGCCCAATGCACCAGCACGGCTGTTTTTTTGTTTTACGTCCAGAGGTCGTGCGCAGAGCGCGTTTGCACGACGCGGCTGTGAAAGCGGGTCGGCGAGGATGTCGCCCGAAGTCGGCAAGTCCCCATCGATATTTGCCAAGGACAGCCGGAAAGCAGTTGGCTGTGAAACTTGCTCGCTTCAGCCAAAATCCCTGCCAACATCGCTGCATGTGCTGTTTCTCGCCTTACTGCGTTGCATAAGCCCGGCGGCGGCGTACGAGGAATCGCTACTGGCGACTTGTGTCGCGCTGCCTGGCACGCCAATATGCCGACACGTTCGACACGACAACCCGCCCCTACCAGTTCACCTGCCAAAGCCGGCACTGATGCTCTGTCTGGCATGCGTCGTGCTACCATCGACCGCGACGCTGACGCCAGGGTCGTCTCACTTGATGGTCGATGGCAGCAATGCTCACTAGACCGTTTCACGCGCAGCATTCATGCGCAAACTGCGCGAAGTCGCCCCAGCCTTGTATGCTTTCGGCCAACACGCATCCCTCGTCGAGGCCGACGATTGCCTGTAAGCGGGTGAATGCTTGCCGCTTTCCTGACCGATGTCTGCGTTGTGACGACGCCCGCTCGCGCGCGGGAAACGCTCCGATGTCGTCACGTGGACAAGCCCGGCGGGTGTTGCGGGATTTCTCACCTTTGGCACGCCCATGGGCCATGCCTTGCTCAGCCGGATTTGCACTGTGCATGCTTCATTCTTGCCATGCGTGCTGCCCCGTGCGCAGACCACTTCGGCGCACCCCTGCTTCCCGACCTTCCAGCACCTTCCGCAGGCGGCCATGACTGGAGGACGCGGTATCGCGGTGCTTGCACATGCTTTTGGACGAAACCGTTCGATGAGCAGGATCCCGAGGTCCTGCCCCCGACAATTAGCGCGTCTACCGGCACTCCTCAGTGGACTCGGGCTCTGATGTGCGGAGCGCGTCGCTTCTGCTGCGTAGGTGGTCTGCAGATGGGCCGACGCTCTGCCCGGTACTGCAGCTGCGCCGTCCGGAAGCTGCTGCGTGTTGCCGGACGGAACTATTTAGCAGTAGGAACAGTAGTGGTGGTAGTGGCACGGGTAGCACTGGTAGTGGTGGCACCAATAATAGTAGTCGTTATTGTAATAGTAGAAATTGTAGGAATAAGCGAGTGGAAAACAACAAGGAGCAGTGCTGGTGATAGCAGTAATGGCACCAGCAGTAGTAGTAGTAGTAGTAATAGTAGTAGTAGTAGTAGCAGTAGTAGTAGTAGTAGTAGCAGTAGTAGTAGTAGTAGTAGTTATAGTAGTAGTAGTAGTAATCGTAGT